TCCTAAATTCTTCCTTTATCCATAGATCTGACAGGTAAACTATTCCATGCTCTCCTAATTTGCTTATGATCTCACTCTTTATGTCTAAATCATGTACCCATTTTGACCTTATCTTGTTACATGGTATGAGATGTTGGTCTATACCTAGTTTCTGCCACACTGTTTTTCTAGTTTTTCCAACAATTTTTGTCAAATAATGGGTTCTTGTCCTAAAAGCTTGGATCTCTGTGTTGATCAAACATTAGATTACTGTGGTCATTTGCTATGATATATTGTGTACCTAATCTATTCCACTGATCCACCACTCTATTTCTTAGCCAATACTGGATTGTTTAGATAATTACCACTTTATAATGCCACTATGGCTAGGCCACCTTATTTTACATCCCCCCCCCCCAATTTCCTTAACATTCTTAACTTTTTATTCTTCCTGATAAATTTTGTTATTTTTTTTCTAGTTCTACAAAATAAGTTTGATTGGTATGGAACTGAATAGGTAAATTAATTTAGGTAGAATTGTCATTTTTGTTACATTGGCTCTGCCTACCCATGAGCAATTAATATTTCTCCAAATTGTTTAGATCTGACTTTATTTGCATGAAAAATGTTTTGTAATTGTGTTTGTATAGTTCTGTATTTGTCTTGGGTGTGTAGACTCCCAAGTATTTTATATTGTCTATAGTTACTTTAAATGGAATTTTTCTCTCTATTTCTTGCTGCTGGACTTTGTTGGTAATGCATAGAAATGCTGATGATTTACATGGGTTTATTTTGTATCCTGCAACTTTACTAAAGTTTAACTTGTTTTTCAGTTGATTCTCTCAGATTCCCCAAGTATGCCATCATATCTGCAAAGAGTGAGTTTTGTTTTCTCATTGTTTATTCTAATTCCTTTAATTTCTTTTTCTTCTCTTATTGCCATAGCTAGCATTTCTAGTACAATATTGAGTAATAAAGATGGTAATGGGCATCCTTACTTCACTCCTGATTTTCTTATCCCAATTACAGATAATGCTTCCTGATGGTGTTAGATAAATATTAATTGTTATCTTAAGATAAGCTCCATTTATTTCTATGTTCTCTTGTGTTTTTAATAGGAATGGTTGTTAGACTTTGTCAAAGGCTTTTTCTGTACTTATTAAGATAATTATATGATTTCCATTGGTTTTGTTATTGATGTGGTCAGTTATGCTGAAAGTTTCCCCAGTATTGAACCAGCTCTGCTTTCCTGTTATAAATCTCAGTTGGTCATAGTGTATGATTTTTGTGATATATTGCTGAAATCTTGCTAGTAGTTTATTTAAATTTTTTGCATCATATTAATTAGGAAAATTGATCTATAGTTTCCTTTTTCTGTTTTTATTCTTCCTGGTTTAGGTATCAGCACCATATTTATGTTATAAAGGAAATTTGGTAGGACTCCTTCTTTGTTTATTTTTTCAAATGATTTATATAATATTGGGATTAATTGTTCTTTAAATGCTTGGTAGAATTTGCTTGTGAATCCATCTGGCCCTGGAGATTTTATCTTAGGGACAAAATAGAAGCTATTTTGCCCAATGAGCTCCATAACAGCACCTAAATTTTTTAAGGAGAAGTTAAATGAGTTACAGGAAGAAATAGATCTCCTTACTCTTTAGGGAGTTCATTGATGGCTTGTTCAATTTCTTTTTTCTAAGAGTGGGTTATTTTATTTTTTCTTCTGCTAATCTGGGCAATTTATATTTTTGTAAATATCCATCTACTTCATTTAGATTGTCAGATTTATTGACATAAAATTGGGCAAAATAGTTCCTAATAATTATTTTAATTTCCTCTTCATTGGTGGTGAATTCACCCTCTCCTTTTAATACTGATAATTTGGTTTTCTTCTTTACTTTTTAAAAAGCAAATTAACCAATAATTTATCAAATTTATTAATTTTTTCATAGAACCAGCTTCTAGTTTTATTTAATAATTCAATGGTTTTTCTTGCTTTCAATTTTACTTACCTCTCCTTTGATTTTCAAGATTTCCAATTTGGTGTTTAACTGAGGAGTTTGAATTTGTTCTTTTTCAATTTTTTTTAGTTGCATGCCCAATTCATTCATCTGCTCTTTCTCTATTTTACTGATGTAAGAATTTAGAGAAATAAAAATTCCCCTAAATGCTGCTTTGGTTATATCCCATAAATTTTGGTATGTTGTCTTATTGTTGTCATTCTTTTTAATGAAATTATTGATTGTTTCTATAATTTGTTCTTTGACCCACTTATTATTTAGGATTAGATTACTCAGTTTCCAATTAATTTTTAATCTGTTCTTCTTCTATCCTTTATTGAATGTAATTTTTATTGCATTATGACGTGAAAAGCATGCATTTAATGTTTTTCCTTTGCTGCATTTGGTTGTGAGGTTTTTATGCCCTAATACATGGTCAGTTTTTGTATAGGTGCCATGTACTTCTGAGAAAAAAGGTATATGCCTTTCTAGTTTCATTCAATTTTTTTCTGGAGATCTATCATATCTAACTTTTCTAGAATTCTATCCACCTCCTTAGCTTCTATCTTGTTCATTTTTTTGGTTGGAATTATCTAGTTCTGAGAGGGAAAAGCTGAGATCCCCTACTAGTATAGTTTTAACATCTATTTCCTCTTGTAACTCATTTAACTTCCCCTTAAAAAATTTAGATGCTATATCATTTGGTGCATATATGTTTAGTATTGATATTACTTCATTGTCTATGGTACCTTTCAGCCTTCCTTATCTCTTTTAATTCGATCTATTCTGGCTTTTGCTTTGTCTGAGATCATGATTGCCACCCCTGCTTTTTTTTTTCTTGGTGAGGCAATTGGGGTTAAGTGACTTGCTCAGAGTCACACAGCTAGTGAGTGTTATGTGTCTGAGGCCAGATTTGAACTCAGGTCCTCCTGACTTCAGGGCTGGTGCTCTAACCATTGTGCCACCTAGCTGCCCCTGCTTTTTTTTTTCACTTCAGCTGCTGTTACAGCCCCTTACCTTTTACCCTGTGTGTGTCTCTGTGCTTGACTATTTAATTTGTCAGTGTCTCAAACTGTACATAGCAGACACTTAATAAGCACAAGTTGTGTCAAACTGAACTGCATTAATTTCTTAAGCATGTTATCTGTGTCTTCATCTAATGAACTCATAAAAAATTGGGCAGGACAGAAAATGACTCCTGGGCCACAGATAGAGACTTATTCCTAGGTTAATATCACTATTAATCAGTACTCTTTGGGTAGAATTTTTTTTTTCAATCAGCTGTGAATCCAGCTAAATGAATTGTCATTCAATTACCTTTCCCCCCCCCCCAATTTTGTTCACAGGAATATTAAGAAAAGATTACTGAAACTGAGGGACATTGTGCCTGTGGGATTTCCCAGGTCTACTAGTCTAGTAATTCTGTCAGAAAAGCAGATGAAGTTAATCTGGAAGGACCAGTTAATGATGAACCTTGACTGGCTCGTGGTGATTATCACTTTCCTTCCTAAATGCTCACAGATTATCCTCTTAATCATATCTTCTAGAATTTTTCCAGGAAAGCCCACTGAAATACAGACATGTTACGTCTATGGCATTTCCCTGAGCTGCCAGTCTAGTAAACATGTCAACAGAGAATGCTTTACTCAGTGAAGGCAGGCACAAGATGCTTGAGCGTTTACCTGTTCCAGCCTTGGTCATACTGATTGGGGAATGTTATGAATGAATCACTTATTTCCATCTGGGCTAATTTAAACCACTCCTCCCAAATCAAGCCAATGAGAGCCAGAAATAGTAATTTCAGGTATTAAGTAATTTTATTTCCACCTAAGATTCCCAATCTGAGGTCCAGGTGACTTGTCTGCCCAGGAGGCAAGGCTGGTTTAGTCCTCTCCCAATGGTACTAAGACACATGCTGTCTCAGTGAGAAGGGACAATATTCCAGAGACTGATACAAGCCCAGTGTTTCCTCCTCCCATAGCTGACTCATCTTCTGTGCTCAGCTACTCTTGTAGGTAGATTTGTCCTTGATGTGTGTATATGGGGTGGGGGTGGGGGTGGGGGTGTCAGTTTTTAAGGAATCCTAATAAGAAAGACAATGTTTTTACTCTGGAAAGATAGGGAGGGATTAGAGAAAATGGGGTCTGAGAATTGGTGGTGGGGAGCAAGGAGGGCAGTCTGAAGAGGTTTTATGGAAGATAGGCATATGAAAGATGTTTCAGAAAGGAGAAAGAGCCTGAGCTGGGTAATGAGGAGGGAAGGGAACATCTGAAATCTGTTGGGAATAAAGGGGAGAAATGGAGTGCTGCCCATTAATCTCCAGCCCATGCAAATCTCAGAAACAAAATGGGGTAAGACATGGTCAAGGGATAGGCAGCAGATATACTGGACTGGAGCCAAGATTCTATGAGGAGAGAATTTTATAAGGAATGATGGTAGATGGGATGACAAGAAAAGGCAGGAGGCATTTTGTGAAGGGGCCTGAAAGTTCTGCTGAGTTTATAATATGTTCTAAGATTATATCTATCTCTACCACCACTGTTGCCCCCTCCAGTGTTTGAATTCCCCCTTTCTCCCAAACTAGCCTTGACACTGAATATCTAACAAAACTATGTACACAAAGAAAGCACCCAGGAAAGGATTTTATCTAGTGGATTTTTGTCTTATTTAATCTAATGGACTCAGGGATCATTGGAGAATGGGAGACTGATCACACCATAGGAAGTCCCTATTATTTCCCCCTCACTCCCCCATTAAACTCAGAAAATATCCCTAGGAATAATCTGCCCCTGGTCTTACCATCCATACATAGAAAAGCTGACCTTGTTGGGGGGGGGCAGTGGGGATTAGGCCATGATGACATCTTGTCATTCAACTGGCACCAAAGGAATGTTAAGTGGATGGTTTCATCATAGAGACTGGACCGACAGGTAATTGAGGGAAATTGAAGTGATTCACATATGGGCAGGGAAAGAATGAAAACAGTAAGGCCCAGAGCGATCCCATTTCCTTGAGGCAGGGTTGAGAGAGTATAATATAAAAGACTCTCAGCAGATCCAGGACTCAGCAACAGATCCAAGCAGCCATATAGCTTGTTCTTCTCTGAACGCCAGGTGAGTCTCTCTCTACCATGACTTTCTTGACAATTTGATGACCATGGAGTCATGAAGTTGTAGAATTTCATTTTAGATATGAGGAATCTAAGGAGCAGCAGGAACAGGACTAGAAATCAGAAGCTGCATTAGGGGCCATGGCTTTTCACCCGATATTGGACATTTCATTGTCTATTGGCATTGATGCAAAATGGCCCATCATGCTATATCTGGTATTTAATATGCACTTATTCATTGGTATTTAATATTCACTTATTCACTTATGTTTTGTAGAACTAGAGGCTCTCAAGGCTGGAAGGGATCTTAGACATCACTAATAGTCCAATCCTTTCATTTTCTAGAGCAGGTAACTGTGGCCTAGGGAGGTGATTCATCCAAGATCACATAGTTAATTAATAGCAGAGTTGGTAGTTGAATATAGGTCTCCTAACTCCTAGTCTGGTGCTTTGCCTACTGGAACACCATTATCTATAAAGAGGGCTTCCTAGAGAATGATAAACCTTGGGTGTTTAACATAGCATGGTTGTACGTAAATACAGAGCATTTCATGGGATTTAAGAAAAAAAAATTGGCAGATCGTAGGATTATAATCTTTCTGACGTATCTCGGGTCTAGAGTGACTTAATGATTTTTTTATATCTATCCTAGAAATATGCTGTATTGTGTGAACCACTGATACAGAATTAGAATGTATAGAGCTAGTCAAGGCAAGGAGGATTGTGAGGACAGAAAGAATGAGATAGGATGATAGTGTGAGACAGAGAAAGACACCTTAAGAAAAGAAAGAGAGCTGGGGCAGGAGAGAGAGAGAAGAGAGAGAGAGAGAGAGAGAGAGAGAGAGAGAGAGAGAGAGAGAGAGAGAAATAATGGCTATTCCAAGTGGGGACATAGGATGATGTAGAAAGAGGGTTAGGCTTGGAGTCAAAGAAACTGGGTTCTCACCCCCATGTGGCTTTGGGCAGGTCAATTAGTAAATGCCTTTAAAAAAGTCTTGTTGACCAATAGAAGAACAGACCTTGTGAGAAGGATAATGAGTTGGCCTGGAAGTTCCATGTTAGTCTCATGGATGATGACTAGTAATGTCCCTGCTATTTTCACCTCATGGAGGGTCAAAAGCCGGAGGGCACTCATGACAATATCATCCCAATCCCCACATATAGGGAACATAGAATTCACCAGTGTTACTCAATGGCTTCAGAAATCTAGTTACTTTAGCAAGAGGCAGAGACCAGGCTAAGACTGAAATGAGTTTAGTTTGGGGATAGGGAGGCGATATGTCTGCTCATTAGTAAAATGCTCAATGGGATTTGCTCTCTTGCTCTCAGTTTCCTCATGTGTAAAATTAAGGGGGTGGACTGGATAACCTCTAAAGTATCTTCTATTGATACTATATCTATAATCCTATAACTCTGCTCATAGATAAAGCTTTTAGCTGGCTGTCACTCTGTCTTTGAAGCTAAATAGTTTCAAAGTCTATATGGGAAGAGCTGGAAGGGGGAGAGGGAAAGGTCTAGAAGTGCTTTCAAAGTCATACCCTTCTAGCAGGGGGCTTGCCTTCTCATCTGGTAACATAACCATGGACTATCCTTTCTCCTCCAGATCTATCCACATCACAGAGCCATGTCTTCTCAGCAACAGAAGATTCCCTGTACCCCACCTCCCCAAGTTCATCAGCAGCAGGTGAAACAGCCCTGCCAGCCACCTCCCCAGGAGCCATGTGCCCCCAAGATCCCAGAGCCTTGCCACCCCAAGATCCCAGAGCCTTGCCACCCCAAGGTGCCAGAGCCTTGCCATCCAAAGGTGCCAGAGCCTTGCCACCCCAAGGTGCCAGAGCCATGCCATCCCAAGGTCCCAGAGCCTTGCCACCCCAAGGTGCCGGAGCCATGTACCACCAAAGTCATTCCACCTCCAGCTCAAGAGAAGTGCCCACAGGTCCTCAAGACCAAACAGAAGTAAGATGGCTCAGGATGACGCCCTCCATGAGACCAGCAGCCAGATGAAGAATCTCCCTTACCATCAGCTTTCCAACCCTAATTGCTATCTGTACTTCCAGGGAGAGATTTCTCCCCTGGTGCTTTTCAGCCTATAATTAGCATGCTGAAAACAATTAGCAATGGTCCTGCCCTTCATTTGGGTCCTGAAAATGCTACAGAAGTCTGTCCCCACCCTGGGATCCCTAAGCACCTGGATCAGGCTGAGGCTGCATCCGCCTGAGCTGGCCCTCTGGCTACAGCTATCAGGGCTAGAATCAGGCTTCAGTCCAGGAATGACTGTATCCTTCCTACTCTGATCCCATTAAACTCATTTTCCATGTGACTTCTGGCTGTATGTGCGTCATTGGCTGCTTCTTTTGAGCTTCTCCAACTAAGGTCTCTTGTCTTCTATTTTCTTCTGAGTGGAAGGAGGGTACATATGGAGGGGGTCAAGAAAACAATTTTCCTAACTCAGGGGCTCTGAATGAGGAGGAGGGGTTAGGAGGAAGAGGGCATAGGGCTTTAGGCTGAGCTGGCACCTCACTAGGCATCAGTCAGGAATTCAGAACACTCATAATGGACAGTTATGTTGTGCTGCACTCTTGCCAAACTCTCTCAGTCCCCAGCCAGATCTGAAGCACCTGGCTTTACACCAGCCCAAGCCAGCAAACCCATCCCAGTACCTGCTTATGGCACAGGGCGAAAGTCATTAATTTTGGAGTCCAGAGACCTGAGTTTGAGTCCCAGGTCTGCCCCTTACTAGTCAGGTGACTTTAGGAAAATCATTTAACCTGTAACCTTTGAACCTGTGTTTTCTCATCTGCAACATGAGAATAGTATTTTCACTAATCATCTCTCTTAAAAAAAGGAAAACCTGTAGGTGTGATGTATTATCACTATTTCTTTTATTAGGTGAATTGTCACTCATTCTGAGTAGATATGGTGCTCATTCTCCATCCAAACCCACAGAATTAGAGACTTGAAAGGATCTCGATCAGTTTCTTTATTTTACAGATGAGAAAGTTGAGGTCCAAAAAGAGGCCACACAGCATGTCGGTCATACAGCAGTGACCAGAACACAATTTTCTTTGTTTTGGTAAAATGCTGATTGAGTCTAGTGCTCTTCCCACTAAGCCTCTCTGCCCCTTCACCATCATTGGTTATTTCTTTTTTCAAAACCTTTGAGGACTGATATATCTTTAGGTCAGCACAGTTCACTGAATGTCCACTGTGTTTAGAACCCAGTATGTGGTCCTGCTGAGAGGAAGAAATCCAGAAGCAGGAAGATACACTATCCTTGCCTTCAGGGAGTCTACAGTCTAGTTGGAGAGACAAGACACACTCTTGAACACAATAGGAAAGAGTGTGTTAGGACACACCAAAAGATACCCAGAAAATACAATCTAAAGGCAGTTTGGTCTAATGTACCCCGGACCTAGGCACAGAGTAAAACACAACCAGGGGAATAACTTCCAGACTTCATTATTTCTAAGACACCACCATCTTTTCAGTCGCCCAGGTTTGTAACCTTGGAGTCATCTTTGGTTTTTCATTTTCTGTCTTCCTACATATCTAGTCTGCTCTCTGAGTTTTATTAACGATATTTCCACAAGATTTCTCACATCCATCCCCTTCTCTATTTGCACAACCACCACCTTGTTCAGGCCTTTATCAACTCTCATGTGGACTATGACAATATCAGATTCCTGAAGGGTCTCCTTGACTCAATCTCCTTACTCTAATCTCTACACATAGCTGCCACAGTGATATTCCTAAAGCTCCCTGTACCATAAACTCCAGTGGTTCTCTATTGCCTCTAGAATCAAATACCAGATCTTGCATTTTTTATTTAAAGACCTCCAGAACCTGCCTCCAACCTTTTTGTTGTTTAGTTGTTTTCAGCCATGTCCGATTTTTTGTGACCTCATTTGGAGTTTTCTTGGAAAAGATACTGGAGTGGCTTGCTATTTCCTTCTCCAGCTCATTTTACAGATGAGGAAACTGAGGCAAACAGGATTAAGTGACTTGCCCAGGTTCATACAGCTAGTAAGTGTCTGAGGCCAGATTTGAACTCAGGAAGATGAGTCTTCCTGACTCCAGGACCAGCACTCTATCTACTGTGCCACCTAGCAGCCTCTAACCTATTTCTTGAAGTTTTTTTGATATGTTATACCCTCCTCTCTTCCTCCAAATAGGTCTTAGTCAAGTAAAACTGGCTTTTTTGATATTCTTTGCCCAGGACATGCCGTCTCCTATCTTGGTGCCTTTGTATAATGCTTGGAATGCACTCACTCCTCACCTAGTTTCCTTAAAAGCTCAGCTCAAATACTGTCTTCTGTGTGAATTATTTCCTATCCTTCCCTCCTACTCCTGGCTGTTAGTATCTTTCCACCCTAAAATTACCTTGTGTCTCCCTGATAGAGCTCCTTGAAAGCAAAGGCTGTTTCATTGTTGCCAGTACCTAGCATCATGCCTGGCACATGGTGGGCACTCAATAAATCTCTATTGATTGTGTTGAACAAGGGTTGGGAGGAAGAGGTGTGCCTAATACAGAGTACAGTTCATTTCAAAAAGGTACAATGGTGGGAATGTCTGTGGATGGTCAGATGTTTTGCTTGCTTCTATAACCCAATGATTTGTAAGACAAAAATCACCCCTGTGCTCTGTGTGATTGAAGGGAATGTACAAACTAATGAGATCCCAAATCCATTTGAATAAACTACAGCTCCTGGAAAGTCATTCATTTCTGAGAAACTGACAACCAGGAGTACTCCGCGGGCATTCCTGACTCACTGGCTGACCTCTAGAAGCCAAGCTTGGTAGTTTATTTCAAAACAGTGAAAGGTTGGTTAAGGAAGTGGTAAAGTCTACCTGGTAGCTGCGGGACTCTCCAGAATGCTTGGTTGATCATGACCTGAGGACAAATTGTTCTGAACACTTATCCTGGAAGAGTCTGTGCCCAGAGCGATGGCTGATAATTATCATCCAATGTTTTTAAACATACATACAAAGTTACTTATTATGCTTCTTTTAGAACATTTTGAAGAATTATTCAAATGGATCTCCGATTTCATGGATATGGGTATTCAATGGTTTATATTGCCACCCATCTATTCCTATCCAACCTGAGAGCAATCTCCTCCCACTTCATCCCTATAAGTTTGCTACTGAATGAATGTATTTGGGACCTTTCTTCCTTTCTCTTGACATCATCAAGATACCAGTGGAGCCCAGGCATTAATCCCTTGTTCTCATCATGTGACCAGCCCACCTTCTTTTTCATTTCTACATTTCTTTGAAGATATCCTTCACTGTAGTTCTTCATAATTTGTTGTGTTGCATCTATCTTGTGCTCAGCTTATGTCTCTTCATTGTTTTATGGATGAGACTGATTTTTAATTCTTTGGAGACCATAGCATTCTGTCATTTGCAGCTGCTGGTAGAACATTATTATGAAAAAGTTGGAATTTTGTTTTAGGGAGAAGTTGAGGTCATTGCAGGAACTTTTCAATTTCCCAAAGGCAATCCAGTCTGCTCTCTTCTTATATAATTCTGGGGCCAATTTGTTGTCCATTTGCAGTGTATGTCCAAGATATACATGTCTTCACAAGTTGGCCATCTAACTGCATGTCACATAATCCAGAGACAGCCAACATTCTTCATTCACTTGGTGTTTGCTTTGCAGATTATTAGGCTAAACTCCTTTGAGCAGTTATGGATTAAATTCCAGAAGCTTAGCGAGGTTCTCAGGTTTGATATAATTGGCACAGTGTTATCCAAAAATAGGAGCAGCACCTTGAGGTCCTCATTATCTCTATGGGATCTCTCTTTAGCTTAGATTCTGCATTAGACCACATCCAAAACAATAGCAAACACCCCTGGTGAACTTATTATATGCCTTGCCTGATATTAACTACCAGAAGGTCATCAGATTAAGTCATCACTGTTTATATATATATATATATATATATTATATATATATATATATATATATATATTTATATATATATATATATATATTTATATATACATATACACACACACACACACACACACACACACACACACACACATATATATATATATATATATATATATATATATATATATATATATAAAAATCATACAAAGTAGAATTGTGATATACATATGTGATTCACCTTGATACAAGGGAGCTTTTAAGGCAGCATTTTGCTCTACCAAATAAAATGTTTTGGTTTTTTATTATCGGCAAACAAAAAGAAAGTACAAGAGGATGTTGGATTTTTTATATCTATCAGTCAGGTAAAAGTGTGGTCTACTGTTGACTACTTCTTGGGAAAGTCTGACTCTTTCCTGTTAATAACCTCATTAAAAAATTCCTAGATCTCTGTATAGATTATTTTCTTGAAAATTTTATATAGATGGGAAACTATGCATATAGGTCAGTAGTTAATAAGTCAACCATTGTGGGGTGAGGGTGGTGGGGAAAGGTTTTCTCCTGCCTTTGGTATCTTCCCTTCCTTCATATACCTTTTGAATAGATTGTTCATTAATTGATCCCTCAACATCCTCATAATTACCTTAACTCCAGTATAGATCTTTTCTATAGTTTAATTCAGATGTTTTCCCCACCTTTGTTCTCTTTTGTACTATTTTTACCTCATCCTTAAGTACGGGTATTGGGATGTTAAGATTCAAACATAGTATTTCCACTGTTCTTGATGGTTAAAAAAAAGTTAGTTGTAAAAATCACAGATCTTTTCCATCTTCTATTTATTGTCTTCCAGTGTCATCCTTAAATTTCCATGGCATTACTTTTTTATTGAGTCTCTCACAAAGCTGTCTTTGAACTGTTTCTGTGCTCAATCACTTTCCTCTATTTTATGAAGAGATATTAGTCATAATCTTTCATCATCTTTCTCTGTAACAGTTTACAAATAAGTTTATTTTGTAAAGATATATTGACTTTGACTATCATAGCTTTCTATTTGGCAAGTAAGTCAAATGGATGCTAATTATGATGGGTTTTAGGCTCTTGATTTTCTTGTTATTACAGTTGATTCACATTAGCTAAATTGACTTTGAACAAATCACTTAACTTCTCTGGAGCATATTTTACTCTTCCATATGATAAGAGAGTTGGGCTAGGTCATTTCAGTAGTTACTTTCAGCTCTAGATCTTTGATTCCTTTGATGATGAACTCCTATGTAAAATTATTGTAATTGGTGTCTGTCATTTCTTCTGTCCATATCCTATTTTCACCATCAATAGCATTTGAATAGGTAAAGGTCAAAGTTGTTTTAAAGAGATAAGGATAGAGTTGCTGGACTTGGAATTTCCCTTAAAACC